CAGGACCGTCCGATCAAGAAACCTCGACGATCCTGATTGAATGAGCCCAAACGACGTCGTTTTAATGGTCTGGGGACTGGACCGGGTGAGATTGGACTAGGTTTGGACGGACTTGGGTATTTTGACCGGGTTTCTTTGGGCCTGGGGAGTTAGATCAGAGACTGGCCCAACATTTGGGCCTTTTTAAGTAAAATACTCAATTTCTTTTGATTTTGTTTTCTTTTTCTTTTCAAATTAAAGCTTTTAAATCTAAATTAATTCTAAAACTAAATTAACCTACCCAATCTATTAATTAAATACCAAATTTAAAAGAAATCTAACCAAAATTAAAGTTACAAATTAAACAAAGCAAAAATAACTCATTTTTTGTGATTTTATACATATTTGTGAAATCCTAATTACTAATTAATAAGATAAAATCCTAAATGTAAATGCAATGCGAATTTTTGTACTATTTTCTATGAATCATGTCGACTAAAATGCTCACAGTAAAAATGCAAATAAACACGAAAATTGTGCAATTAATTCTTACAAATTAAACAATTAAAAGAAAAAATCATAAATTAAAGAAATCTGTAGGAGTAATTCGTGCAAGGCAAAAATCACATGCTCACAGCTGCCCCTCTTTGCTCGAAGACACGAAGGGTTTTCGGGCAAAGATAAATGAGCAACATGAGGGATTTTTGCCAACTCGGCACTCCAGGAGAAGCATTTTGAAAACCGTCTGACCGAGACCTGCTTCAAAGGTTGCCTACATATCCTTGGCTTTAAAGGAATCAGGTCAGTGTAGTTCTGGAGTGCTTGGTAGCTAGGACTACCAGGAGCTGTGATTTCACTGCTGTTGCTGCTGTTACTGCTTGCTGACCTCCTTATTACACCAAAAAGAAAATCAAAGCTAAGCTAGCTACGCCTATCAACTATGAGTTACAAGATTCCTATCTATAATTCTCTTGAAGCTTGATCTTGAGTCTTAGCGGATTTTGCTGTGGACTCTGATCTGAATCTTGATGCTCGCAAGTTGTTGGTGTTGTTTCTTTTGCAGCATTGGGTCAAAGTGGGATCGGCGGAGCCTGTGGCTTCAATCAGATTTTGAGCAATCCGCACCTTTGTTTGCTTCAACACTTTGAATTCATTTCTTTTTTGTTCTTTTCTTCTTTTCTTGATTCTGGATTGAGATTTATTCCATGGGTCATATCACACCTTGTGTCTTGAGGTTGACCTGCTTAGGGTACCAAAACAAACAAACAAACGAAAGTTTCTGCCCCAGTTTTCACGAGGAAAATTTCGTGAGTTTAGTTGTAACATATATCTAATCAATCAAATTGGAAATGTGTAAAGGGATCCTCGCTTTTTGTTCCGGGATTTTGGGAAGAAAAAGCTCCACGGTTTTTGTGCCGGAAGATCCTCGGTTTTTGTTCCGGAATTTGAAAAGAAAAAGGCTCCACGGCTTTTGTGCCGGGAGATCCTCGGTTTTTGTTCCGGGATTTTGGAAAGAAAAA